AGGAGCGGCTTGGCAGGGAGGCGGGAGAGCTGTGCTGTATACTGTGTCCTTGGCTGAGTCCTTTCCTCCCATGAGCCTCTGCTTCTCCATCTGTAGGAAGAGTATTTGATAGATGGTGTTTTCGTGAGAGGTGGGGGTGGGGAAAGAACTCATTCAACAGACATCTATCCCGTTTGGGGAGCGAGTGTACCCCTGTGTGAATCAGTATTCACCACATGAACATGGCCATGTTAAGGACACCAATGTCCCATGGGAACAGCAAGGCCATCCTCCGGCTCATGGTTGACCTTTATCTAAAACTAGTATGACAGAAAGTAAGGCAGTATCTGCCACTTCCTCCTTAGGACGCAGTCACCCTGAGACTGCTCTCGACAGAGATCCACCCCTGTCATCTCTACATAATAAACACACTGAATTTCCCAATGGATGTTATGTCCATCAGAGCCCACAGCCCAATCCCAGCTGTCCTGTATGTGTGTCTATAATTTCTTCATTCCTATCATCTGAGTGGGAGCTATCTGTGGGAGACAGGGATAGAGGCTGGTTGCAAGGCCCTCCAATCCTGTAGCTCACTGTGGAGTGATCCAGGTTGGCCTCCGGTAGGCCTGGCACAGAGTTCATCACCACCCAGGACAGGGTAGGGAGAATGCTGGCTTATGACAGTTAGCATGTCACAGCAATCCTATCAACCACCACCATTCCATTTCACAGAGGGGAAACTGAGGTACGGGAGGGGAGGTTGAATAACTTGCCCAAGATCACACAATTAGTCATCTGTGGTGTCCGATTCTGGGTCACCTGTTCCCAACAACACTACAGGGGGAAGGTATCTAAAGCCACCAGGGTTCCCTCAAGACTGCTGACCAGGATCAGCCCTGTCAGGGCAGCCAGCAGGACATTCTGGCGCCCTGAATTTAGTGAGATCCACACCCTTTTCGAGGAAGGTGTACACACCCAGAATAATCGTGGAGCCAACAGACAGCTGAAGCCGTGTGTAGCCTGGAGGTCCCAGTAAAGATGAGGTTCTGCAACATACCACTGAGCCCAAGTGAGCTCTGGTCATCATTTTTGCCAAGATTATTTTTTTGGGGGGGCTGTTGCTTTCATTATTGTTTCTTTGGGGGAGGAGCCACGGGATGTCTTAAGAATGAAGCCTGGACGAGTTAGGCACATCTGAGGACTCACAGCCATCCCCTCCCCTTGGTGCCATGATGGTTTACTGCACTCTTTCATTTCACTGGAGAAGAGCCTGATTGGAATGTTCTACAAACTGAAGCTTGGAAGGACGGGGGCAGGGGAAGGGGAACCTCTTCTCCTGCCTGGCAGCAGGTTAAACTTAGTCACTGGACTGGGTGCTGGGTAGAGTTGTAGGAGATGCTTCTCAGTGCATGATGGGCACTGAGAACTTCCTCTGCTTGCTTGAGCAAAGCAGTTCCAAACAAGTGGAGAATGATGCTAACACTGGCAGCCATTGCTGACAGGGATGGCCAGGACCTGTGGCTTAAAAAGCATCCAGCTCTATCTGGGCTGGAGGGTGGGGCCATTGATCTTGGGTTTGGACACTGGATGTCTGCATCAAGGGAAACCCCCAAGTTTGGGGCAAACCGGAAGGCTATTGGTCCCTTAGCTGGTATTTTTCCCTCTCACCTTAGGCACAAAAAGCAGGACACACGGCTCACTATAGCGAATAAGTGGCAACCCAGATCTCTCGTTTGTAGGTACCACTACTGTACAGCTCAGTTGGAGCCCTTCAATCTCAAGTACCATTTCTGTGGTCCTCTTCAGATCCAACCTATGTTCAGCCATCTCCTCCATCACACTCCGACACTGACTCAGGAAGGTTTAGTATCCCCAGCAGCTCCCCCTCCAGTACCCTTCTCAGCTCCCACTGCAGGATGGTGTCCAGGCTGGAGTCCATCCACGGTCATGGGATGGCTGAGCCCCTCAGTGCTCAGGACAGGGCGGCCCCTCCCCAAGAGGGCTTTATTTCCAACTAGGGCAACTTGGCAGGGCAGAACTTTTCTGGAAAAGCCTATATGGAGCCTCTTCGAAGGTGTGGTTCCTTAACCCTTTCAGTGCCACAGGTTTCTCAGACATCTGGTGAAGTCTGCAGACCCTGCTTGGAATGATTTATAAGAATGCATTATGAGGGCACATATGGTGGTCTTTAATTCCAGCATTCCTTATGCAGAGCAGATGGATCTCTGGGAGTTCAAAGCCTATACAGAGAGACCCTGCTGTCTCAACAAACAAACAAAACAATGCATTGTGCTGTTGCTATCAGAAGAGTGCTTTTCTAGACTGCACAAGGCATCGATGCATAAAGCTTATGTGATGTCCTATGCCTGTAATCTTGGCACTTGGGAGGTGGACACAGGAAGATCAGGAATTCAAGTCCAGCCTGGGCTACATGATACTCTGTCTCAAAAATGAACAAACAAAAACCATATCTTTTTTTTTGCATTCTGACAAAATTCATGCAATGAAAAGAGTTTAAAACACAAGTCACCAAAGTAGTCAAAAAGCAAATTTGCATCATGATATATTTCTTTTCTTTTTTAAAATTTATTTTTATGTGCATTGGTGTTTTGTCTGCTCGTATGTCTGTGTGAGGGTGTAGGATTCTGGAGACAGTTGTGAGCTGCCATATTTGTACTGGGAATCTGGATCCTCTGGAAGAGCGGTCAGTGCTCTTAACTGCTGAGCCACATATCCAGCCCCTATATACTTACTTCTTTATTAACACTTTAAATAATGGGGCTTGAGAGATGGCTCAGTGGGTAAAGCCCTGCTGTACAAGTATGAGGTCCTAATTTCAGATCCCCAGGGCTCACATGTGACTGGATGCACTGGCAAGCATCTGTAATTCCAGTGTTCCTACAATGAGATAGGAGGAGACAGAATCCCCAGAACCTCCTGGGCCAGCTAGCCTGTGGTACAGAGAGAACATCTGACAAGAGACCCTGTCTCAAGTAAGGTGGAGGCAAGGACCAACATCTGAAGTTGTGATAGGTGAATGCTTGTACACAATACACACACACACACACACACACACACACACACACACACAGGCGCACACATACACATGCCTAGCAATTGGAATGCTCTGAGCTCCATCTCTAAAAACAAGCAAACAGATACAGAATGCTGGCAGCTCAGGTCTCAGGATATTTACAGCCCCTATCATACAGGCATATCTGATTTCTATGGGTGGCAGGATGACAAGGACTTCATTCAGAGTCAAAGGGAATGCTGCATAAAAGTGGAACTCGGTCCATCCCAGTGTCACAACCCCTTCAGAATTCTATTCTCGGTCCACATGGGAGCCCCACAGCCCCCACTTCCAGGCACAGGGTCCTTGACTCTTTGGAGTGGTAAGGGAAGCATTAAAGGCTATGAGATCTAAGAGTTCAGAACAGAACAGTGACCAGGTAGGGTTGAGTTCAGAGGAGAAAGACTGCCAGAAGAGAATGTAAGGGCTCAGAGATGAGTCCATTTGCCAGGGAGCATGGAGCTGGGAAGTGAGGGAAGACAACATGACCAAACCTGAAACACAACAGTAACATCAGAGCCATAGCACCACCCCAGAGCAAGCTACTGTCTTCTCTGTCCCCAAGGCATTGTTCCAGTAAGACAGGGTACCTGACCACAAGCTTACACAAACAGACAAGAGATGAAAAGAAAAGAGATGTCACTGGAAAAGTCTAGAACATACCACATATCTGGTTAAGCTGACGGTGTAAGCCACCGGCTTTCAAGGGTTGTGTTCCTCCTCTATGAAGTTTGTGGTGAGGATCAAAGGCTAGCTAGCAGCTTGGAAGGCTGGTTAGAGCATGCTTTGAGATGGTGGTGACTGCTCAGGTCTCAGTGACCTCTGTAAAGTGAGGGTAATACTTAAGTAGGCACCTACTGTATGCTAACGCTGGCAAAGGAGATGCTCGGAGATTGCAGGAGACACTGACTTTAGGGTGGTAGGTGTGAAGACATCTGAATGAATGAATGAATGAATGAATGAACCGATGGATGGATGGATAGGTGTGTTCTCTAAATAGGTGTTTCTCCACACTGCACCAAGGCTGCTGGGAGAAATGATGGATATAGATCCCCCAGCTCTGGGCTCAATCACATCATCGCAGCCTATGAGAATGTGGTGGTGGGAGGTGGCTAGTCAGGGCTAAGGACAGGCATGCTGGGGGGGGGGGTCATTGCCTGCTTTTCCCCAGCCTACCTCACCTCCCTTGCCAGTGGATCAGCAGGCTCAAGGCTGCGGGCAGAGGCCGATGAGGAGCCCTGGATCAGCTTAGTGGGGGACCTAGGCCGCCCGAGGCTGGAGTAAGGGAGTCGACAAGCATGTATCTTCGCATGCTATGGTTGCCAGACCTTTGCAGGCCACAGTCACCCGCATGCGTGAGAATCTGGGGCATGGGAATTTGGGGCACGGAGGGAGGGACGGCGGGTGGGAAGGTGAAGACTTGATGGGAGAGGACTCTCCAGAAGGGGAAATGAGCGGATGCAGATCGCCAGCCTCTTTACTTAAGAGGCTGCAGCTCCAGGCTCTGCCGCGCTCCTTGCTGCAGTTTCGCATGCAGACTGTGTTAGACTACCTGAACCCGCGCGCTAGGCCTGCAGCGCCTCACCCAGGCGAGGGCTTTCCGGGTCGTTGCTGGGCGGAGCCTGAGCTGCAGCAGCGGAAAGGCGCCTCGCAGACAAGTGGCGCTGCTTGTGGGTGGGCGGAGTCCAAGGGCCTATAGGCGTGGCCTGGGCTGCAGAGCCTGAGAGCCGAGTCTCAGCGGGTGAAATCGCTGCATTGGGAGGAAGGGGCGTGGCCTATGCCCGCAGAGGGCGGTCCAGGCAAGGGGGCTTGGCCTTCGCCTATAGAGGGAGGGTCAGGAAGGGGCGTGGCCTTTGCCTGCAGAGGACAGCCGAGTAGGGGGCGTGGTCTGTGTCTGCAGAGGGCGGGCTATGGGGGCGTGGTCTGTGCCTGCAGAGGGCGGGGCCCGACGCAGAGAGGGCAGCGCCGGCCGAGAGTCCTCTGCGCGCCGCTACTGCGGCCGGTCCACAGCAGCTCTGACAGTCCGGGCGCAGGCACAGAGCCCCTCGCCAACCCCACGCAGCCACAGCGACCTCCGGCTCGTCGCGCTCTCTCTTCCGGCGTTGCGGAGCTGCATCTGGCGTGCACCTGGCACCACCCCGGCCGCTCTGGAGCCCGCGCCCGCCCTGGCCCGGCCACGCCGGGAGCCCGGCCCCGAGCTGGAACCCCATCTGGAGCCGCGGGCCCGGGGCCCTGAGCCGCGCAGCCGGCGCATGGTCAACTCGCTGCTGTTCGGGGAGATGGCCTTGGCTTTCGGCTGCCCGCCGGGGGGCGGCGGCTGCGCAGGCGGTGGCGGTGGTGGTGGAGCCGGGCCGGGGCCCTCGCCGGTAACAGCGGCACTGCGGGACGATCTGGGCTCCAACATCCACCTCCTCAAGGGGCTCAACGTGCGCTTCCGCTGCTTCTTAGCCAAGGTGCACGAGCTGGAGCGGCGCAACCGGCTTCTGGAGAAGCAGCTGGAGCAGCAGCAGAGCGAACGAGAGAGGCGACTGCGCTACAAGACCTTCTCCCGGGAGCAGGCCGTGCAGACCGGGCCCGAACTGCTGCGGCCGCCCGCTGCGGGCGGCGGGCAGGCCCTCGGTGCGGCCACTGGCGTCAACGCCAACGCGGTGGCCCTGGGCGGCCTGCCCCCCGGCGGCGGCTCGCACCCGCAGCACTACGGCCGCTTGCCCGGGACCATCTGGAGCTACACGCAGGTGCGGCGCACTGGCGGCGGCGGCGTGGAGACGGTGCAGGGCCCCGGCGTGTCGTGGGTCCACCCGGACGGCGTGGGCGTGCAGATTGACACCATCACGCCAGAGATCCGCGCACTCTACAACGTTCTGGCCAAGGTGAAGCGCGAGCGTGACGAGTACAAACGGAGGTGAGTGGGTGCGCCCCTCCTCCGCCGCTCTCGGGATGGGCCTGACAGGTGGGCTGCGAGCTGCGGGGAGGACTTGGTCATTTGAATCCAGAATACCTGGGCGCTGACCCCCCGGGGCCAAGCACATTGTTTCCCAGGGACGTAATAACCAGCGGACTTGTGGTGATCTCATTCTGTCCACATGACAATGCGGTGTGTGGCAGCCTCGTCCCCATATTGCAGACAAGGAAACTGAGGATAAGAGGTGCTAAGTGGCTTGCCCAAGGCAACTTGGCTAATCGGTGGTGAAAGTCAAGATTTGATCCGTTGATGGGAATCCTGGCTGGTGTGTCTCCCAGACTAGGTATTCTTCAGAGATTCTAGTGGTAGATTCCCTTCCCACAGCAGGTGTAAAGAAAAACTCTCAACTAGAACACTAGTACATTGTCATTTTTTTGTCCTTGAATTTAATGAGCTCATGTGAGATGATGGATGGATCTGTCCCTAGGGCCGGAAGGTTGGCTGTCTTGTTCCAGGGCTGTAAGGCCCAGATCCTTGGGCTGCAGAATCAGAACCAACCCCTAGCCTTTTTTTAAAAAAGTCATCCTTTCTTCACATTCTCTCAAGTCTCAAGGTTTATTGAGGTCCCCCAATATTGGGGGTTAGAATATTGGGTGGACCCAGATCATGGGTCCAATTGGAGGTCAGAGTCAGACTGCTTGCAAGATGGCCAGTGTGCTCCTTAAAGTCCAGATTCGCTGGCTGCAGTTCTGGCACTGCTTTCTGCCTGCAAACAATACTGTCTGCTCAGCTTTCTGACACGGAGAGGGAGAGAAAGAGAGAGGGTCTGTGTGCAGGTCTCAGGTCTGCATGGGGGAGGGGCCCTCTGGTCCTAGGCTCCTATCTAGGCCTGTGTAACTCTGCTTTTGTTGTTCTGACTCTTAAGGGAGTGAGGCCATTCCTTCCATTCCTGCAGTCTCTCTGCAAGCTGGGCCTGGGTCTCCTTTCTTACCCTCTGCTGAGGTCTACTGACTGGGAAGGAGTCTGGGTCCAGCTCCCATCACCTCCAGAGTAGATTGTTTGCTCATCAGGGAAATGGGAATAGAAAATTCCAGCCAGTGCTCCAGGGTAGAGTGGGATGAGGCTCCTGTTGGAAGGTCTAAAACAATCAAGTAGATGTTATTACCTGTGGTAAGCAGGGTGTAGAGATATCTAGAGTCCCTGGTGCTCGTGCAGGGCCTGGCTTGCTGGGGATGCTTTTCACTCTGGCCTTGGGAATGTCCTGTGCCCCTCACAGTGAGGTCACCCTCTGCCCTTGGTGGTGGTCATCCCCATGAAGGCAGGCTAGGGAAAGAGACACTTGTCTTTGATGGTGAAACTGGAGGAGGAGGGTTGGGCTGGTCCTCCTGTCCCACACCTTTGGCAGTGTAGTCATGACACAGGCTTGCTCTGTATTTGTTTAGTTGTGTGTGTGCTTTTTAGCCCTGGCTACTAAGGTGATGGAAAGACTGCCCAGGCTTAGAGGGAGAAGGGTTGGCATTGAGCAATTAGCTGTTCAGGTTGCACCCAGGGTGTGGGGTGTGATGTCAGCTTCTGGCACTGTCCTGGAATGATCCAGCCCTGCTGAGACAGGTGGGGTGTGGGCACCTCTCTTCCCGCCTTTCTGGGAAGCAGCTCTTTCTTTTCTTCGTTGTCTTATGAATCGGAAAGACCTATCTTCCCTGAGGTTGATTCAAAGCTTTGGATTTCTCCAAAACGACTATTCTGCCTTGCTCAGGCCTCACTTTAGCTACGTGTAAAGTAAGGTGGCTGGACAACTGCTGTGCTCCTTGAAGCCTGGGCTTTCTTGGTGATACTTTGGGGAAAGCTCCTTTAGTTAGTAAAAATACAGCAAGGGCTTGTGAGTTGGCTCAGCAGGTAAAGGTGCTGATAGAACAACCATAATTCTATCGCTGGGACTCACATGGTGGACAGGGAGAACCTACTCCTGCAAGTTGTTCTCTGACCTCCACACATTTGCCATGACTTGTACACACACACAACACACACCATATACACATAAATAAATGTAATAAAAATCTAAATACATCTAGCCAGGCAGTGATGGTGCACGTCTTTAATCCCAGCAACTCAGGAGGCATAGGCAAGCGGATCTCTGAGTTTGAGGCCAGCCTGGTCTACAGAGCGAGTTCCAGGACAGCCAAGGCTACACACTGAGAAAACTGTCTCAAAAAAATCAAAGAGGGGTGGGGAAGCCAAAGCCAAATACAGCAAAATGTTAGCACGATCATCAAAGTGCTCTTGCTTTCACACTGATGTCGGTGTACCTGATGCCACTAGTGTACGAATTTTTTTAAGTATTTATTTATTATGTGTATGGGTGTCTTGCCTGTATGTATTTGTGTGTGTATATATATATATGTATATATATGTATATATATACATACATATATACATACATGCATACATACACGCGCGCGCGCACACACATGCACACACACACATGCACACACATGCATCCTGTACATGTCTGGGGCCAGTGAGAAGAGGAATAACTCCCTGGAAGTGGAGTCATGGGCAGCTGTGATGTGCCATGTGGGTGCTGGGAATTGAATCCATGTCCTCTAAAGAGCAGTAAGTGCTCCTAGCCACTGAGCCATCTATTTCTCCAGCCCAGCATGCTCACTTTGTAATAGTTGGCTTCAAGTTAAAACCTCTTTCTTTGGAGAGAGACTATGGCCTGTGGACTAAGCAGGCTGCGTACACATTTTCTGGTAGTACTTGCTTATCTGAGAATGACAAGATTCTTTGAGTTTTTGCTAATAGTCCCCTCAGTTGCATCTACTGAACCTAGAATGGGTAACTTATGTATTCAAGTCTACAATATAAATATATACAATTTTGTTCTCACTGAGTATTGTGGTTTCTCCTAAGAGTTTTTCTTTCTGGAGGAAGGCAGGAAGATAGTTAACTTCAAAAAAGAAAAACAGGTTTGGGGAGGCAGAGGCAGAGGCAGGTGCATCTCTGTGAGTTCAAGGCCAGCCTGGTTTACAGAGAGAGTTCTAGTACAACCAGGGCTACACAGAGAAACCCTGTCTAGAAAAACCAAAAGCCAAAAACAAAAACAAAAAAAAAATAACCCAAAAATCCCAAAAAACTCTGGGCCACATGACCTGAGAGGGGCTGCCTCGGCTTGTCAGTATATGAACCTGTGTTTGTGCTGGGGTTGAAACTCCATGGCAGATTGCTTGCCCAGAGTGCAGGGGAAATTGGGTTGCAGTAAGTGAATATATCTGAGCTGCCAGCCTACCACTAGTACTTTGACTATTAAGAGGTCACAGTCCAGGAGATGAGACCAAGATGTTTGCCTGTCTGATCTGTAGACTGCCAAAGGCATCATAGCTTTCTGGGGTGTCTAGTGTGGAACCCCAGTGTTGAGCACACTGGAGAGGGAAGGGCTCCAGGGTTCTCTTGCATTGATCCGGATGATCTCAGAGCTTCCTGCTCAAGTCACTAAATGGTAAGCTGGCAGTATAACCAGTTTGTTAAGCGGCAGGCCTTTGCGGTCCCATCTCATCGTTGGTTTCTCTCCATGTGCACCTGTACTTTCCTGCTTTTGCTGAGGTGGAATTGGCCCATCTTAAAGCCACCCCACTTAAGTACAACAATGACTGTTTTAAAGAAAAATTAGAACTGTGTACCCATCTCCAGGGTCCAGTTTCAGAAGCTTGAACCCCCTCCCCCCTCCCCCGCCCCAATTTCTTTCTATTTGCAAACAGCTCTCCTTTGGAGCAGTCACCAACCTGCCAGGTATCTCTGCCTATACGCTTTTCTAGACAACTCAGAAATGAGATCCCGTGATAATCTTCTAAATATGGCTTCTTTTACATAGATGGCGTTTTAGGAGTTCTTTGTGTTGTGTTTGCAAATATCTGGAGAATATCCGTCATATTGCTAAATCACATGTACGGATGGGCAGACCCTGTTTGTCCGTCCCTTCACCTTACGTAGTCTTGTGTTCCAAGCTTTAATTCGACCGAGTGCTGTGGCTGATGTGGTCTACCCGTGGCCCTGCCCCGCCCCCCCCTTTGGTTTCCCTTTGGCCCAACCTGCTCTTTACTGTGTAGGAAGTGTGGTCACCCAGACTGTATAGAGGGTAAAGTTGTGAAGCGTTGATCTGGAAACCAAAACAAACACTTCTTTCTGTCGCCACCCAGTGCCGCCAAGATCTCTTGTTCTGAGTTTGCAAGTTGGGGGGGCTTTCCCCAAGAGAATCCTATCAAATTATCTGAACTTTAAATACATGCATTTCCCCAATTGGCCTTCAAGAGACCTGGACTCCTTGGGGGTGATCCCTGGGTCTGTGTTGTGGCTGATCTTTTAGCCTTCTCAGATGATGTTGTGTGTATTGTGCCTCCTGTGTTCTGGGCTTCCTGCTTCCTGTTTTTTTGGAGGACCCTGCTTTGGATGACCATGGTCCATACCATGGTGTGTTTCCGTGATTTCCCCTATCGTTTACTGGAGAAGGAGGCTGGATTACTTTGTGGTTGTCAAGCAGAAGTTTTGTGTATGTCCCCACTGGCTGCATCAGGGAAGTTGTCACTACTGTTCCAGGAAGTAACAATGACTGGCAGAGGCAGCCCAGCTACCTGCAGGGCAGTGTGACTTTCTCATGTCCCAGGTCCAAAGCCCTTGTAGCCCTGTGTGACTAAGGGCTGACTGGCCTTCTCCCCTCACAGTGGGTAGACACACAGGGTTTATGTGCTCCCGGCTGACTTTGGCCTTGGTGCCTGTGGTGAGGGGGGAGCTGTTAGAGGGTCTGAGGGACTTGTGTTGTCTTTTGTCTTGGTGGATTTCAAGCCGGTGCTTCAGGTCCCTAGAGCCCATAGTAAGGTACCTCATGGGTGGTCCTGGGGACAGTGGGACGTTGAGCCCCTGGAATTTGACACATGCCAACCACGGGCTCCCTTTCCATGATTCTAAAGGATACTCTGTGTGGGAATAGGCTTGCTATTGACAAA